TGGTAGAACTTAATGATTACACGCTGTATATTGACGACCTCAGTTGCACAAGGGTATGCATTTTGGGTGCAGGATGATGAGCTCCCGGACCCCACTCCCAGTAGGACCATTTTGGGGCGTGAACTTTTCTAACTTGATTCTGGTCTAGGTGTTCTAGTTAGTGCCCTGGAGTGTATTCCATTGCTCCTCATGCTACGTGGAATTTCCTAGCTTAGGACCAGGTAAACTCAAATATTTAGCGGCAGTAATTGTTCGCCATTGTACTACCTGACCTAAGTAATAATGTTAAAGTTTAAAACTACACATATTTATCTTTTTTTCTTGAGGTCAACAAACAGTTGCACACATTGCAAGTACTACACAGTTATAGCTAACAAAGTGTGATTTAATGAGTAACCATCACCGTTAAGCACAGTTTAATATAAATATTGCACTCCTTTGATAGTGGCACGAACCACAAGTATCACCCAAACACCCCACCAGCATCAATGGTCTGAAGTTTTATTTTCTAAATGTTTATTTTTTATTATAAATAAATATAGTTAAAAATATTGTTAACCTTTTTTATTACACCCTAAGTAATTCATGAACTCCTCGAAGATACATTCACCGAATCACATTAGTTTATGGTCCTCAGCAGAATACAGGCCATTCCAATAAAGAGTAGGGTGTGACTGCAAGATTGTATTGAATTTCGCAAACTATGAGAGGCCTGTACTCAGCAGTGGGTTAAATCAGAATGTAGATGATGGTGATTAATTAATTTCCTTTTGGACCAAGGTGCTGATTCACGATAGGGCGTCCACTTTCCATAAACAAATACCTGTATGTAGCAGTCGTCATTGTGTAAACTTAAGTAAGACTGTAATTCACTAATTATTAATACAAAGATGGAACACTCAGAAAAAACACTCAGAAAAAACACTCAGAAAAAATTCCTTCGATCCGAAGAAATCTATGACAGATTTATCACATTTACCAGATTTATCATAGATTTCTCATAGATGGCGCTACGACTAAAAAGTCGTTGAAAGACCAAGTACAAAGACACGACGCAAGCACATAGAAAAATTCGTGAGGTCCGTTGGTTCGTTCCGTGGCTTAGTTGGTAGCGTCTGGCACGGTATGCAAGAAGACGTCGGTTCGAATCCGACCGGATCGAAGGAATTTTTTCTGAGTGTTTTTTCTGAGTGTTCGATCTTTGTATTAATAATTATAACAAACTAGTGGAGTCATTTCACAAAAAATAATTGAATATCAATTCAATAAAAATTTAATTAATACTGTAATTCACTGTTTACATTTATCTACTTCCTTGTAGTCGTGTCAGTGTTTTTATTAAAGCCGTTTCTGGGAAAATCCTGACACGTGTCGAGCTCGTGGAACAGTAGTGCGCTAGTGCGGTTGCAGCGGATTTACTATCTCGCAGTTTGTATGTATTATAAATAAACAAACTGCGAGATATGAAATGCAGCATGTTTCAAAAGTTTAACTCCTGAAAAAGAGTATTTTTAACCGACTTCACAAAAAGGAGGAGATTATACGTGTATGTTTTCAGATATATCCGTTAATTACGGACCGATTTTGAAAATTCTTTTTTGTTTGAAAGGGTGCACTCTCGTGGTGGTCCCTGGTGCTGTTCCGGGTTCGTTTCGGCTCACAAACTACTAATTATTTTCCGCAAATTTTTTTTTTTTTTTTTTTTTCAAAATTATTTATTATATCATATCCACAGAGTTCAAGATCGCATGAAATACAATATGAAACATATAAACATAAAAAAGAAACTACCAGTATTATATTACTGGTACTTCTTATATGATTATAAATTCAAAAACACTAATAATATAAGTAATCAAAACCAAATAGGAACGAAAATTAAAAGGGACCGCTCTGAACCGTACCCGGCTCAAACGTCCCCATCACACTAGCCGCATTACCGCGCTGGATGGCCAGTGAAATCTGCTGCACCAGGTAAGATCCAGAGCGTGGATCATAACCCCTTTCTCGGAGCCGGCGGCCCAACTCCCGCACAAATTCCTTGGCCTCAGCAGCCCAAGTCCCCGCAGTCTCCACTGCAATTGGCACAAAATCGTACATTGGTTCCAACGCGCTGTATTTTGTGTGTTTTAATTTTGCCGCATATTCCGCAGCTGACCCGGCAAATCTGGTGGTGTGACTCAGATGGGACGGTGCAAATGTACTGACACACGTAGCGTCCCACAATAGGCATCGACCTCTCCGCCATGGAACCAATGTAAGACCGTCAGGCCTCTTGCCATCCGTACGGCACAACCCCGGAGGTTCCAAGACACAAGGCACGTTAGACAACACCAAAGCCCGGCGAACTAGATCGTTAATCGCATGATGCCTTGAAAACCGCCCCGCGCACCTTTGACAACTGAGGCCGTGGTGGCCATTCTCCTCAACCATGACCCCACAAATGCAGTGATGCAGTTCACAAACCTTACATCCCAACCGTAAAGCAACTGCAATTCTCAAAGAGTCATTATCCAGCAGTGTGCCTAAATGGGGTGAAGGCAATGCCTGCAACCACGCTCCTGATTCAGGCTTAATTGCAGCCTTTAGACGTGCCACGTTATCACCCGATGCCTCACCTAATAGCGATGTAGTGATCTCCCTACACAAAACATCATCCCATCCTCTCTGGACGACGACATTATCCGGCCGCTCATCACCCGGACAAACAGTGGACCACCTGGTAAGGGCCTCGGCAAGAAAAGGTATCCGGGTATCGTCACCATTGAAGGGTAATATACGAGTGACTAGTCCCAAAGACCTATGACCCGAAGCCAAGAAAGCCACCAAACCGATCTCTCGACACCGACGTACCCCCAGTCCGCCATGACGAATTGGAAGAGCAGCTTGACACCACTGTGATTCAGTTAGATGAACATTTAATATAGACTCAAGTGATGACTTCAATGTGTCGTCCAGCCTTGCCACATCGTCCTCGAACAACCAACTAGGAGAAGTTCTCAGAATATACAGCACGCGTGGCATCGCAAAACAGCTCCGCAATAAAACAAGCGAGACGTGTGCCGACAAGTTGTCCAAATGTTCCTGAGCTCCAACCAATGCCAACCTTTTATCCTCAAGAGCCGCACTAACCCCTTCGGGAAAGATGGGAGCGCCCAGTAAAGACAAAGATGATTTATGAAGTCGTCGCACACCTGGCACCAATAATTCCATGTCCGACAAAAAGCCCGATTCCACAGGACCACAACAATAAAGCTCACATTTGCTTGGGTTTATCTCCAAACCTATCGCCCTCAAAACGGGCACAAGGTTTTTTAAATCATTTAGCACCACTTGCGGGTTCCCACCAATCGTTCCATCATCCAAATACCATACGTTTAGGGGTGAATCCAAAGAAGAAATAACTTTCTGTATAGCTAGACAAAATATTAAAGGCCCCAAAGGATCGCCCTGCTGAGCCCCGACTTGCGAGCTTACACACTCATTGTTTTCATTTTCCGCAAATAAAAGTAGATTTTTAACTTGACACAATATAAACATGCAATCAACAAATCACCGTCATCATGACAACCAAAAAAGAAACTACAAAATGTACAAGGAGTCCGTAACAATCCCATCGTCACCAAGTAATCGAAAAAAGACGAAAAGCACACTTTTGCAGACGGTTTTGCTTTTTCAATGAAAAAGTTATAATTATTTAATTTGCCGTTACTTGGTTTAACTCTTCATCAGGTATTGAAGGAATTTTCAAATTCGTAGAACAAAAGTGTGTTAATTGAAATACTTCTGTTATTAGATTTTCTTTAGTTGTAACCCATTTTGCATTCCTAAAGTTCTTCCCAACGCGGCAACGGTTGCTTAGAAGAAATTGCTACTTGGCAATGAGCCTCTTATACATTAACTTATTCTATTATACTTAAATTACAGTTCCGACGTTATTGTAATTTTACTGCCCAATAAAAATACATTTAATTCATTCAAAATTGGTGTGTATCCGAAATGGCGAGCCTATAGACAATATTATGTTCATGTTTGGTGAAAAAGCAACTTTGGAAACGAAACTAAGCGCAAACACGCGACCAACTTTGGTTTTAATATAGCGTTTGAGATTTCCTATCACCGGGGTAATTTATCTTTAGCTACTCTTTCTTCTTCTTCATGGAGAGTTGTTGATTCAGTTGAATCTCTACAAAAATCTAGTTCAATATAATAATAGTAATAATAACAATACGTGCCATTGTTCGCCGGTTCTCGAACTTGAGTCCCCGAACCCGACCGATTATACATTCAAAATTAATCTTTTAGGCTATGGGAGACGCGAAATTCTAAAACGGATATCCAAAAATAATAAACCTATTCTTGACTGGTATTAACGCGTTTACAGCAAAACAATATTTTTATATTTATTGTTGTATAGAATGTGGACATTTTGATTAACCTTTAAGACAGCAATAGTTTTATTATAAATAAATAAATTTATAGAAAGCACAAGTCCGATCTTGCATTGAGTACTGCAGTCATCTGTGGGATGGCTCAGCGAAGTATCAACTTGAGGCTCTTGATTCGATTGAGCGCAGAGCCAGGAGACTTATTGGCGACGATAAGCTCGAATCTAAACTTCATGTCGGTTTTTTACAGAATATATTTCGGCGAGTGTGCCCATGAGCTCCATCAGCTCATCCCGCCCGCCCCCCTTTTACCATCGGACATCCAGACGTACGGCGGGATATCATCCTTAGTTGGTCGATATTCCCTTCAAGCGTACTAAGCGCTTTTCATCATCTTTTATTATGCGCACAGCCCAGGAACGGAATTGCCTGACTGCGAGTGTCTTTCCGAACTCATACAACCCGGGTGTCTTTAAGGTGCGACTGAATAGGCATCTTCTGGGCAAACTCGTTCCATCGTAGATCCTATCTTTGCTACAGAAGAGCAAGTCCATTTAATTAAAAAAAATGTTTTTATTAAGAAGTGTCCATAAGTAATGAATTACTACTTACAGGGCGTGACTTGTTGTGTGCGGGGGGGTGTGCGGGATGCGGTGGGGGGTGCGGGGCGCTGCGCAGGCGGGCCAGGGCGCTTAGCAGCCCGTCCGTGGTCACGCGCACCCACACCCGGGACCCATCTATAAAGAAAATATTTCTATTACTTGGTTTTTTAAAAATATTATCAAGTGACGTGAGGCTTATGAAGTGAGGCTTTAAACGCAATGTAATCATTGTATTAAGGTACTTTATAACAAAAATCGTCTTTATGTCCGAAAAGTAAGTAATGTGCGCTGGCTTGGCAGCCTTCCTACTTTTGTACTCCAAAATGCTAGCGCCACAATTGACAATGGATACCAATGTTCATATTGCTGATGGGAGAAGTTATATAACCAGGGTTAAATTAAACAACGTGGGCGTCATTGTGTAGCACTTGAGTAATAATTTTCATTGCTTAATTGTATTAAAGCCGTAGTTTCACAAGTTCATGAAATTAATGCAAAGTATACACATTTTGAGCCGCAGTTGTTCCGTGTACATCCCTTTGCCGAGCACGGATCTCAGCGAATAGGGTCGTCAAATACATGAATAGTCGAACATAAAGAAAAATCATTCGATCCTGCTGGGTTCGAACCAGTGCCTTCAAGCAATCCGTGCCAGATGTTCTAAAGCAGACCTTTTCAATGCGCTTGTTGCAGATCTCTGGTTTTTGTTATTAACGCCTTTTTTGAATTTGTTTAATTAAGATAATACACAAGTAAGGTAAGAAAGACAATAAAAGCTTAAATACTAGAAAGTAGAACTAGGATTTTTAAATTATATGAACAAAATTGGATCCCCGCGGCAAGGTGCCCAAGATGCTGGCAGCGTTCCCCCTTTGTATAGCTATGCTAATGCGTTGGGAAGGTAGCTGCTAGCCCTTTGGTTTCCCAGACAGTTTATTAATTTTTTCGGTAAAATTTTGCACAGATAAGGGGCACTGGGATCCCACGGGCCAAGGGTTTCGACTCCAACGCCAAGGGTTTCGACGTCTTTTTTTGAATCTAAAGTAAGCTAAAAAGACTACGAAAGTTTTTCTTCACTCAGTCAGATACTTTTACAGCTACCAGCGGTTACAAATGTCGCCTCAATAAATGTAACAATAAGAAATAATTATAACAAACTAGTGCAGTAAAATCACATAATATAATTGAATATTTTGGTAGTAAGATATCGTTATATTCAATAAAGTGAATAGTGAGTACGAATAAATAGTTCATACAAAAAAATCTTTAGTTTCCAACTACACCGTGCCTGAAGACTCTCGTCGCTATATATTTAGTATCTAGAGTTCGGTATTTTGCAATATCGTGATGGAATATTCAGTAATAGGCTATTATATATAATGTATATCGATCGAATTTTGATTCAGTGTGTTACTACTGGAGCAGTCCACGAAGTTGGCTCTACACGTTGGGAGTCCCATGTCCTCGGAGTGCCATTGTAAATCTTCCCCTTTCACGACATTTCCCTTAACGGTTTAATTAATAATGATGCTTAAAAGCACCCTTGTAGCGGAGAGGTTGTTCGTTATAAGGAAAATTAAAAGGGAAACACACGAGAGGTAGACAGTCAACATTTGAATAACTTAATATCTCCCGTACTTACCAAAACACAAGAGCAACAAATTATTTTCTCCTCGTCGAAAACCTTTGTAAAGGTTAAATACTCCAAAGATGAAGCACTCAATTAAGATAGACTTAATTATTCGTATAAAACATTCAACAATCTTCCACATTATTTAGGCAATGACAACTCGCAATGTAAAGTTCAAGGTTCGATTTGTTTTCGATATTCCGTGACTTTAACAAGCTTCAATCGATTTCAATCATGCTAATAACGTGGTCAACGAGTACCAATTACTAAGAGACCAACCTTTTGTATGTCATTTAACGCAGGTTTTTTGTTATCGTTGTTGACTAGTTACTCTTTATTTTAAAGGTATAGCTGTGACGTTGCATTGTCCGCAAACCTCTGATTATGTTGATATAACCAGCTGTTTATTAATACATGGTTTATTTCGAGATTCGTACCGCTAAGGCAGATTTAAAAAGATTACCAATTTATAGAGTGATTACTTGTTGATTTAAGTAGCAGGTAGCAGTAAAATGGCGACTCGAGCGGGAGTGATGAAGGAAGGGGGTATTCGAGTGTGCGGTATGACCACCGGTGTAACCGACGAATCCTTTTTAAATATAGGTGTACGTAATGTATAACTGATGTTAGTGTAGTGGCACGAAAGACCGTGGATACCCACGTGCACTTACACCTATACAGGGACATAGATACAGGGAGCAATCAGGGAACGAATGATTTGGACCTGAATGTTAGCGCGTGCAACCAGAGCTCGGATTCCCATATTAACTGCCTCCGTGGCCGAACGGTTACCATGGCGGACTGCCACGCAGAGGTCCCAGGTTCGATTCCCGGGCCGGGAGAAATAGTTGTATGCCCTACAATTATTTCTCTCGTGAGTTTGAGTGTAATTTCTGGTTGTCTGTGTGTGTGTCCATGGCACCCGCGACACAGGGTTTCCCTAGTGCGGGGCTATGTTGAGTGTGTGTGTTATTTATTTTAAAAAATACTGACAGGGAATATTAAGTACACTTTCATAATTTGATGGTATCAACCTCGAATTCATCTAGTATAAATAAAAATTTAATTAATTTCTTTTTGTAGCTTTGTGACGACCGATTTCAATTTCAAGAAGTGTTTGAGCGGTATCCAAAACTAATTGTTTTACATCAAAATTAAAATAAAATTCTTTTACCGATGTCCAAAGGTAAAATCAGAATCAACGAATCAAAATTCGTTAAAAAAATAAAATGTGTATATAATGTTCAAAATGGTACAGGCAATTGGAAATCAGAAGAATATTTCTTCTGATTTCCAATTTAACGTTAACGTTTAGCTGTCAAAAGTTAACAGACTAAGCTCCGCTGCATACGCAGTTTACAGAATACGTGAGCTTACCGATGTTAGTACTGCTAGACTAGTTTACTTTAGTTACTTCCATGGCATAAAGTCCTACGGGATTCTCATGTGGCGTAAAGCGGCAGATATTCAAACCATATTTGTATTGCAAAAACGAGCGATTCGTTCTGTGTACCGTCTAGGCTCTCGAGTTTCTCTCAGAGAAAAGTTTAAGGAGACCAGTATCATGACTGTGGCATCACAGTACATTTACTCAAATATTTTATATGCCCGTAATAATACACATAATTTCAATAAGAAAGAAGATATCCATAATATTAACCTTAGAGCTAAGTCCAAACTCATGGTACCACGATTTCGTTTAAACAAGGTAAACAACTCTTTTATGGGGAACTGTATACGTTTTTACAATAAGATTCCGGAGCATATATTAAGTTTATCATTTCCTAAGTTTAAAAACTACATTAAAAATATTTTGATCGAAAAGTCATATTACAAAATTAAAAACTACGTGTTAGATAAAGATGTACGGAAAGACGACACGGCTCCAGAATCCATACAAATTTGATTCAAAGTGTATTTATTCCACAGCATTTAAGTTTATTTGAAAAGAGCAATCCCTAGAGTTTCTTGCTCGTTCTTCTCAGGGAGGTCAGCGTAGTGAACGAGCAGTAGCTTAAATGTGACGTTTTCAAGTGTAAATTTATTTTACCTATGGAATAAATGATCTTTGACTTTGACTTATCTATCTATCGATAGCTATCTTCATGTGACGTGACACTTAAGTGGCTTCAAACAATGGACGTAGAACTGGCCGTTATGGCTGAAAAACGACGGAGCATTTCCCCTCTGGTGTTTATTGAAATATCCAAATACGAATTCAAGTTGATTAATGAATACAGGAATAATCTCCTGCAGAGTATGAAACGAAGACTTGTAAAATGCGCCGCACCCTCCTAATAACTTGGTACTATTATTCACAATGTGTAAATGTGCACAATTAGGTATACGCTAATCGATTCGTATGCGCTAATAAGTACTTGCTATGTCTAATTAATAATTTAGTAATCGATTAATTTTACAAATGTTAGAGTACAGCGGGATACAAAAACAAAAATAAGATTAATAAATGTAAGTATTTTTCATCATAACGCTTAAATAAAGCAACACACTCATAGCCCCGCACGAGGGAAACCGTGTATCGCGGGTGCCATGGACACACACATAGCATCGAACCCAGGACCTCTGCGTGGCAGTACAGCGTGGTAACCGTTCGGCTACGGAAGTTGATAATTAAATGATAATTGATAATGAAAATATAACATAGAGTATTTACTTCGTAAAAACTCAAATATTTTATTCCATTAAAACACAATGAGGAGGTTCATGGTCTCTACCTACCCCTGTGTGATACAAGTTTGATGATATTTAACGAGTTTTCATCTGTTTCTTAGAGAAATAACATATTTATGTTATTACCTTTGATGTTTCAGATAAATTAACGAAAAACTGCGCTGTCGTGAATTCCCCTATGGATTTTTAGCATTAATAAAAATTTCATGATAATTGACTGAGTTTTTATTATTCCTTCTTCTTCATTTTAGGTATTCTGCAGTCGGCCGAATAGCAGACCATTATGAACTTGATGGCAAAATAGAAAGCATGACTCTCATCCTTGAAATAGATTACTTTAATGGTATAATCATAACTACACCATAGTACAACTAATTGCGTTTGACTGTTGCGTGTTGTGATAGTCTTTAAGAAGAAGCCGTGATCTGTGCGTGACAGACCAGCATGGTAACCGTTCGACCACTGAGGCGGTTCAATAGACGGTTGCATTCGCTCAAGTTAAACTATTAAAAACGTTCGATTGTATCGATGCTAAAGCGCCGTTGAATCCATGCAGACATCGTGTGCATAGCGACTAAATGACGCAGACGGTGAATCTCCAATACCATAAAAAAGTGTCGCAACAGTATCGTGTGTGGGCCGGCGCTGTATCGCGTTTGCATCGTGATCATATCACTGCTGACGCGCTGCTATATAGCTGCTAACATTTAGCA